AGGCAAGCCAGTTGTCTTCGCCTATTGGGTTGACCATGTTTGTCGCGTGTGCACGTTTTGGCGGAGGCGCATCACAGGATGCTCTGGATATAATCGATACAACCTCAATAGCGGCGCATAGGATGTTTGAAAATGAAACCGGGCGACAGTCGGAAGACCAGAAATCGTTGGAAACTGGTGGTCGAGGAACGTGTACGTGTCGACGCTGTCGCGGAACCTCTCGGGTTCGAGGGAATGAAGGGCTAGATGTGATGGGAAAGTTAGGAATCTGGTAAAGGAGAGACTGAAAGATTGAGATGATGCGCCTAGCAATACCTGTTCAGCTCCGCTGAGTCAGTGGGAAAGGAAATATGGCCTGGATTAAGAAGACGCAGAAGCAAACGCAGCCTGAGGTTGATCAGCGGTTGCCTTGTGTGAATGTGCAAGACTGCGCGCGTGGGGTGGGAAAAAAAGCTGCTGCCAATAATTCGACACCTTCCAGTGGACTGGGCTGGACTGGGGACTAAGTTAAGCACGGGGATGCATTTTCCCAGAAGAACGGGAAGCGAGGGTCGTTAAAATGATGTAATGCCTGGAACTCCATTAAAGTTCAAGATACACACAGTGCAACCCTTCTTTGTTACTCGTGTGTTAGAACAGAGGATCTTGAATTCAAAGCCAGCAGCACATTGGCACGACCTTGTTGGGTTTTGAGGCCTACAAAGACCCCCAACGACTTCTCATAGTTAAGTCGAGACCTCTAGCATTGAAGAATAGCATTTCTTTCTTCCTCTTCATCATAAAAGTATCATTATTTTCAGTGCATTCTAAACAGTCCCGGCTCCCAGGTCATTGATGCCTCAGTACCAGCTACATTTGCACTGGACCCGTTGTCGTTCGGTCGATCCATTTCCCAAAATGCACAAGCTAACAAAGAGTCTAGACCTCAATTCGACCCGGTCCTCCCATGCGAGCGTGTAACGAGGCGCTTTGCTGGCTTGCACAGCTTGCTCCAATTGACCAGCTCTCTTGATCGGCTCACCAAATTTGGACCCCGAACTGTTATTCCCGGCGCACGGTCACCATCGGGCTCCCGGCCTTCAAAAATCCCCGAGTCAATCGCCAAACCAAGTGATCGTCTTCACTTTCAATAAAGACGGAAAAGAGTAGTTGGCGTTGAAGTTGAGTTGATGCTGGTGATCGTGGAGATGAGAATTACTAATCTAAGTCTCTTGTCTCAATTTTGTAGACTATCGGATGCATACTTGCCATCAAGGCATGAGCTTCCTCGATCTATAATATGGTCTGAACCTGACGGTTCAAACGGGTGTCACGAAGCTTCTGATGTTTTACTTGGCGCATTGTCTCATAATTCCATCTAATAAAAGCTTCAACGTTTTTCTAGACATTGGCATTCCTGCCAGGCTGGGTGGGTATGTGCTTCATTACAAAATCTATCCCGGTGTTCGACATTCAGCTGCCAGTCGAAGGCACTACATCATCAAGAATACACCGATTCATGGTTTAGGCAATCCGTAAGATTCAGGCAGGTTCTAGACCAGACTCTAGCTATTTTCAACGTCTCGAAATATGCAACTTTTCCAGGCTTTCCAGCATCCAAAACGGCCTCAGGTAGCCGGAAAGCTTCCAACCATTTTTAACAAGGGTGTCAAAAATAGTTAGTCAAAAGACCCTCCAAGTTAGACTAAACTTACATAATTATTTCAGTCGTCTAGAATCCAGCTGGGTCTTCAGCTCCCAATTACTATGGATACCTGTACCCAATGGCTCGGATGCATGATCCCGATTCTTTTGACACCTTACCCGGCCACTGACATGTCCGGGTCAGCTCGTATTTAGAAGCTTATTGCTTACCAATAGACTTTGCAGCACTTCTTCCTCGTAAAAAAAAAACCCACAACGTTGTATGACACAACTGTGTGAAGCACTGATGACGCTATGCCTAAATTCAAACCGACCTCTGTTAACGACGATGAACATTGCATAGTCGTTGTGGTCGCTCTACTCATCAAGAATATTGCGTATGTGTTAGATAAGATGAATTTTTGACTTTGTGTAAAGTACATCGTTGAAGGGCGGTTTACTGTACTCTCAAGACTTGTTGAAGTACTGTCAAACATCCTAAGCCTCCCATTCGAATTACAATTTATTCGAATCTTATCTAAGTAGATAATAAGCAATTTCAGATAGACATCGGTATTGCTCCAGGAGTCAAGTTAACTACAATCCCGGTGCAAAGGAAACCTCGAAGGGCTCTGCCGTTAGAAACAATTATTGCACTGCAACTTACGAAGGCTCCCCCGCCATTAAGTGAGCCGACTCCGGGGCTTATAGCAGAGTGGTTGAGGCTGAACATGATGCCATTAGACAAAGAGCACGGTTTTTTATGTCAATTGTTGATCAAGACGAATACGCGCTCAATGTCAGCCTAGGTACTTTAGATCAGGGGGACTCAATAGAAAGTTTACCAACGAGATCTCAAGGCTGGATGCCTTATTTGAATAGGTATGCTTAATGTATTCTTGTGAGGTGCTCTCGAACTTGCGTTTCCTTCCCTTGGGTTGATAGGTCTTGAAGCTAATGTTTCACGCTAAAAAGAACAGCTCGACCCTTGGCCTGGACATAGACCGATCTGCACACACACCCAATCCGTGGATGAAGCCAAGATAAAGGCAAACTTTGAATCCCATGTCCAGCAAATATATGGAACGAAATGGCTTGAATCAGAAGTTTTTCTAAGCATAAAGCTCCTTCTTTCCTGGTGTCTTCCAAGTTGGGCCGGCCTTGCTCAAGAAGCTAGAAGCACAATTTTGATCTTTTGATACCATTGTCAGAAGCTCCGCGGGTGAATCCCTGAGGCCGATCGGGGGTCATCCGCCCCCAGGTTATTGTCGCACAAGTGACAGGTGGGTGTGCCGCGGTTGTTTCGCCATGTGCGGCTGTCCAAAGAATCTGTCAGAGAAGCACCAGTCCCTGTGAAGCCAAAGGTATGACGCGTGATGCATCAGCTTCGCCGTGTTGTATTATTGTCTTGGATCCGCAGCCAGCTTTGTTGACCGCCATACCATAGTATTGGTTTTATCATTGTACGATAGAACGCCATATTGACAAACAATGGCCAGTTTGACCACATCCATCAAAAGGTGTGAAGGAGTCTGGCTGAGATGACGCTCCACGACGGCTGTCGTCAAGAATTTGCTTCTGGCTCAATGTTCTATGGTTAAGTTGCTCCCTCTCTCCCCGTAATCAGTCCACAATAGCCCAGATGCACTACGGCAATCATCATGTAAAAGACGCGTTGTCAAAGAAGCCTTTCCGTATTCTAGCATGGTTGGGTCCTGGTTGGTTTGCTCGCATTGTTCTGGGGCTTGCCAGGATGCAGCTTGCACATCCCAATAAAAGTCACGAGTTCTGGAGTGGGTTGCATAAATGGCGCTGTTTGTTGAGCGTTTCCTTTCTGCAGCTCAGCTTTCTCTGGTCAATGCAAGCGGGCGGGCTCTCCTCCGTGAAGCGCACTGCACTGGACGTAATTTGTGTTTGCGTGTTATCTGGCCAGGTGAGTTCAGCACGACGTTGTGTTCCGTCAATGTGTCGGTCTCATATATGTCAGAGAAAACTCAACATTGGTAGCCACCGTGTATCAAACCGCATAAGGGTTTGAGGTAAATGCACTAGCCACAAAGGGGCCAAGACACTGGAAGGAAGTAACATAAAGGAGGGGAGAAAGGACAAAGAAGACAGCGAGAAGCTGAGATCTCGCGCCCACCAGCGACACATACCCCACAGCGTCACACACAACGCAGTAACGGAAAGTTAACAAGACGAGTCAGAGAAGAACATCTAGAATGTGTGATCTTCTATCAGTCCCCGCTGGTACACATCAACATACGTACATAAGGTATAGTAGTTAGATGAAACAAGCGAGACCATCTCGGGAGATGGCAATTGGGCGGTAAACAGGCCAAGTGAGCTAGGAATCTGGGATAGTTGGCGCTAGTACCTGGCGCCAGGGGAATATCCAGTAAGCCCCCGCCGCTAGCAACGCTCTCCCAGCCCTGAATGGCAGTCTTGCTATGCTTGCTTGCGCCCTTGGGGTTGATTGGCCCCCCTTTTGGGAAAAGAGAGGGAATTGACGTTGATGGCGGTGCTTGTCAGTTTTGTGCTGTTGGATCCGGTCCCTGGTGTTGCAGGAGGCCAAGCCGCCAGGGGGCACACATGCACAAGGTGTTTTGTGTACAAAGAGCCTTGGAAAATCAAGGGCGAAGGGCGAAGAAACAACCAACATCCATCCAATACCATGTAGAGACGGGCAGACGGATCAAGGTACCTATGCTATTTCTAGGGCTCCCTCGTGTCAATGTAAAGCTAGATCATCCCCTGGAAGGATCTGATACCCATCGAGCTGGGTCGCCCTTGTCTGTAACAGCGCCGGACCAAGCTTGCTTGTGCTTGAAGCATTATTATTATTACCTTTGGTATTCTTCTTCTTCAGCTTGTCGCTCCCTCCCACGAAAGAGCGAGGGCTTGCATTGCATTGCATTCTTTCTGACCTCAGTGCAATCTTACCAGGCCCCCGTTCTTTTCCCAGTTCCCCGTCCACTTCATTCCTTACTTCGTCTCATCTCATCTCATTTCAATTGAGCGAACTTTACTTACTTACTTTCTCTCCCTTTGGCTGTTGTAGTCACCCGAACCCACCTTTCTTTATTCCGTTCTCAAACGGCTTCGTTTCTGTTCTGCTTTCGTCCTGTTCTGTCCTTTCCTGACTCCGACTCGACTCGACTCAACTTCTCACGACCACCTTTCCGCGTTGGGCTCTTTCACTCTCTCAAGTGTCCCTCGTTATCACTCACCATCCAGTCATTCCTTGTGGTCAATTCTTCGCCTTCTTCTTTCCTTGCCTTGCCTTACCTTGTTCTTCTTTTCCGCCTTCCTTTCGAATTGCCATTCTGCGCTGCACCGACGACAACAAATCCGCAACCTTCATTCATTCGCATTCTTCTCGGGGTCCTCCATCTTCTGCATCGAGTGCCACGTTGGACCAAGCCACTTCTGTTGCCTTACACGACATTGTCCGACTCGTCTCTCATTTCTATTTGAAGATTTCTTTTCCGATTCTCTGAAGGGGTTGTTCCAGGATCTACCTGCGGCATTTTATTGTTTTTATCGCAAATTTTGAGCCACCATTGTCACTATTCATCCCTGTGACCGCACCTGCCATCACTTCTCGCACTCAACTCTTTATTCGGCCTGCCGTTCACCCAAACGACCACCGTGAACTTCGGACTTGGTTCAATTCCGGCTTCTAACGATCTATCAAAGTAGCGAGGTTTTATCTCGCTGCATACTTCCTCCGAAATGCGCTTCTCTTTTTCAACCCTGCTGGCGCTGGGCGCCTTACAGACTCTCGGTGTCTATGCTCAGGACTGCGTCGTAAGTGACTAGCGCTTAATGACTATGCATTCACTCGAAACAGGTGCTGATGGCCTCCAGAATGCATGTGTTGAGTCAGTAAAACCAACTGTGGGCTGCGCAGATGCCACCCAGGCTGGTTGTATTTGTGTCAACCCCAGCTTCGTCAAGGGTGTGGCTGAGTGCGCAAGAGCGCCTTCATGCAATGCTGCAGACGCCGATATCACCAGCTTCTTAAGCAACGGGTTTTGTGTGGGTATGTTGCCAGGATTGAATGGTATCTTGCACAAAATAACAAAGGCTGACATGTCCTAGGTCAGCAACTCCCTGCCCTTCCAGAAGCTGCCGCAACGTCGGCTTCAGGCGTAACGACAACATCTGCTGCAGCAGCAACTTCATCCGAAGTGGCAGCAGCAACATCGGAAACCCCTGCCGCAGCTGATACTTCCGAAGCTGCATCGACCTCTGCTGTGCCTCCAGTAACTTCAGAGGCCCCTAAAGCTACTTCAACTGATGCTGTCGATGCGACTTCAACAGCTGAAACTGCCGGTGCCGTCGAACCTACTGTAAGAAGGCTGTTACATTAAGCATTTGAAGGAAGTTAATACTAAACCTTTCACAGGCCACTGAATCTGAGGCCTCCGCTTCCGCCACCGATGCCGACAGCTCATCAACAGCCTCCGAGGCCGCTGGTGCTGCCGCTACCTCTGACTCTTCAGATGACGGCTCAGACAAGGAAGAATCTTCCGGTGGCATGTCTGGTGCTGCGAAGGCTGGCGTCGGTATTGGAGTCACTATTGGTATCCTCGCACTTCTCGGCATCGCAGGTTTCTTCTTCTGGAAGAAACGTCAAAACCAGCACGATCTCCCTCGCGGAAACATGGCGAGCATGTCACCACCCATGGCTACTAGGGACCGCAGTTATCCTCTGCCCGACCAAGGATCGATTGGCGAGAAGAATGGATACGACATGGAGCTAATGTCCCATCGATATGAGGATATGCTTCCTCGCGAGGAACCGCGACATATGGTTTGAGCAAAGCTAGCTTGTGGGAGATATCGGCGTTTAAAACGGGGCACAGCAGAATCAATATATTGCAGATGACAATCGCATGCCCACTCTATCAATCACTGCATAACACATGTCTAATTGTGATCCAAGATTAGCCACTGAGCAAGTCACCAGCACACACCGCTTTACGAAACAGCATGGTTTTACCCACGGAGGGTGGGCGTTGATTGATTCGTGAATTATGGGTGGCAATGAGATTTGAACCAACAAACCAAGCTGTAACTGGGTCGGCGTTGGACGATTACTTAATGAACAAGATACCACAAATTCACATAAGGCGGGAGTCAATGTACCATAACAAAGTAAATCAAGTCGGCATCGGAGTGTGAATGTCAGTCTTGATCAAGTGTACATCCCATTCACTGTACATATCTTACAAGTTTCTATGAGAAATTACATGGTGGCCTCTGGCGACGCTTGAAGACTCCGTCTCTTTTTAACTCCATTTTCAGATGGCAGTCGTGGTTTTACCACGAGTAATATGGTCTTTGTCCATATACTGGTCGGTTGGGGAGATGCACCCAAGGTCCCTTCTTATTCTTCTTTTCCACACGCTCCTCGTACTCTCGTATTCTTGTCTTTTCTTCCTTGAGTAACACCGTTAGACCTAGGGGAATAAGTCAGTAATTTCAAAGACATATAGATATGTGACCAATGCGGACATACTTGTGCTGGGATGTCTGATGATGCCCATGCGTCCACGACCCTTGTAGTCAATTCTCTTTCCTCGCCAGGGACCCCTCCCAACCCACGATTGAGCGATGTACATTCGTGTAGGGTCCTCAATTTCAATCCATTTGCCATCGACTGTTTGGATCTTCTTGGGAGTTTTCAAAATCTCGTTGTTGACTTTTCCGAGTCCCATACCACGCTGTGCAATAGCCAAATCTCGAGCCTCCTCAAGGTAATATCCGATTTCGGCTGCCATCTTCTTCTTGGACCACTTCATCTGCACAATGGCATCGTCGACGCTCTTTCCAGCGATCTGACGAGCCAACATTACGAGTTTCTTGACACTTGTGGGCATAAACTCGCTCTTGTGCAGAAGTTGGCGCTCTGACATCTGGATGCGCTCGTCTCTTGTCAGACGGCCATTGCGGCGAACCATCTGAATAACCTTCTTGCGTTGCCAACGCACTCGACTTCGAGGATCAGGGTCCACAACCATGGCCATGGTCTCTTTCGTCTTTTGCTCGATCTCGGGGGCGCCGGGGGTGGTGTCGGTACTGACTTTTTCGATCTCGTCCTGGAAAATGTTGTCCTCCACACCGCTGTACATGCTCTTCTGCAAATATTCTTCACGGCTCTTGGGGTCGTCGAGCAGAGATGTAGGGTCCTGTGCGGGTGAAACTCCAGCGTCTTTATTCCGGGGTTTGCCCCATCCCTTGAAGAGATTGGAAGCCCATTTGTGCCGTCGTTGTACTGAGGGTCCGACAGTAGCAGAGAAAACAGGAGCTGGTGTACTGGATACAGGGTGTGCGGTCCTTGCTATAGAGAAAAGCTCTTGATTAGTCCATGTAGTTTCTAGGCCAATTGAGTTGCAAAGAAGGCGGGCTGAGCGTTGCCGTACCTGACACTGCCAGCCGCCGGGCGGCAAATCGGAGACTCATTGTTGCAGATATTGTCGGGCTCTGCAAACCGACCGCTCTCTCTGAATCGCTCACACGGAATGTATCTTGCAATTGAGGGTCGTTTCAATGGGCGAGATTCTTTTCCGCATAATTCGCCGTTGTTCAACCGGAAGGCCGGACGATGGCAGGCGTGCACGTGACTCGGGTGCTAGCGCGATTAACATCAGCCCATCTTTGGAATCAACTTAGAACTGCTTGACCACCTCGAAACTCCCCAGCACCTCTGTACTCTCTCGAAAGCCTCGCTCCTTCGCCCGAACAGCTTCGCAAAACTAAATTAGTCACAATGGCCGTCCGACCCATCACCGGTGTACGTTTCCCTCGACTCAATGGCTCGCTTTTCGCATTCGACCGGGCCAGAGGAGCCTGAGCCTCCCAGTACCAGAGCTTTTCGTCGACTGACAACTGTGCTAGATGCTCCGACGAAACCTCGTCCTGGACCTCAGCATCGCCCTCGGTACGTCGATTTCTCTCACGAATTGATTCGGATTATATGAATTGGCAATTATTCATTTAAAGAGGAGGATTCTTGGAGGGGCTGACAATTCGAATGATGTGGTTGGTTGAAGCGCACCTAGCTGACTAGCAACCTCGTAGGCTCTGGCTTCGTCATGGCCAACTTCTTCTGGTAAGCAATGTCATCGACGAAGCGACACGAGGCTGGGAGTAAATACTCACCATTTCGTTCCAGGTACGGCTTCCACATGCCCCGAACCAACGCCCGCGACAACTACTACATCAAGCTCGAAGAAGAGCGAGCCGCCCAGAAGAACGAGTAAAAGAATCAACGGACCGAACCGAGACCTGGTCATTTTAAGCAAGGGCAATGAGAGATGGGAGTGCGTATAGATACGTTCAGGCGGCTAGCCGATGTTTCGTTTGTCGTGTAGCTGGGTAGAGAGAAGAGAATACCACCAACGCCTCATTTGAAACGGTCTCCGTGCAATCTATATTTATGGGCAAGGGCAACCGAGTCGTAATGCATTTTGAATACTGACAATGAGCTATTGAAGTGAAATTCGTTACGTTGATAGTATATCTGGGATCGACTGGGCAGTTCTGTGTAATGGAATTATAATTAGAGATGCATTCGTCAATTGGCCGATAGTAACATTTTTGTTCCAGATCTCAGTCTGAAATCCAGCAAATAGCACCAGTTTGTACTGATCGTATAGACTAATGATTCGATAACGATATTGTTTGCTGAGCACTTCGGCCCATTCCGGCAATGCCATCAACTTCCTGCAGCCCAGCTGGTGACTCAGCGCTCCAATATTCAACCTCACGACAACTATGGCAGAAACAAGAATGATTTGAAGCTGCATTGTTATTATTCTTTATCTAGGGTCGTATACACAGCGGGATATTCTGCTTGACTGAAGACTGTTGGGGCTAACGATGGCGTTCAAGTTTCACAAGACAGTCAAATCTCCCTTGACAAGTAAGCATGCTATATGTGATATTCAGAAACAAGAGCAAGTTGCCCAGGGTTGATCTAAAATCAGCTTTTTCATCGTGCTGTGTCTGGTGCGTGCCAACTTGATGACCAGTGATAGTGTTGAGGGGGCGTTCTGTCTTTGCTGTGTTTTCCATCACTCTGCTGCCCCAACGGAGGATACTCTTTGCCCTCCCAAGCCGTTGTCTCGACCATAAAAGAACCCTTTTTATCTTGACATCTATACGAGGAGACAGCTCACGTCAGAACATTTGTGACACGGTATACCGATGTTTGGGGCGCCAACGTAGGAGTAGGTGGGGGAGAACTTACTTCCGGAACAATCGCTCAATCGCGAAGCATTGTACAGGGCTATCGGGCTTGACAGGCTCTTTGATTTCGCACTTGTACTGCAACATCTCAAGAAGTTCGCATCCAGAGAGCTCGACATTATTGACCCCTTTATCTAACTTGCGCTTCCGGCCGCTTAGATTACTCTGCACGCGCTCAGGAAGCTCTGAAGCGTGGAAGACTTGGCACGGATAGCCCATTGTCAGCAACAGCGGAAATCGTACCGAACAATCAGCATCCAAATAAGAGGCCCCTCTGGCAAATTGCTATCTTTCAGAGTCTTCAAATGGAGACAGCAACGGGGAGTCGGTTGTTAGGTGAGGTTGTTGAGATGAGCCTTGAAGACGTAAGTTGAACTCGAGATTTCGGGCCCAAGCTTCTTGCCTATTGGTCACAAGTATCAACACATCACGATCAGACATGTGGTGATATCGTCGCGGGAAGTCCATCATACTGCTATGGCTTCTTGTGGCCTTCTTTATTTATCGTTTAGTCATGGCGAAGCCCTCGAAGTACCTTGGCATGTCACGTATCGATGACCTCACAAGCTGAGCGGCTTACCCTTGAACCACTGAAGGAATCGTTTGATCCAAATCAACTATAGGGGCTTGTCATACATTTTCTGCCAACACTGTACTACTACTCATTGAATTAGAGACTTACTAAAATATTATTACAGGTCCTTCGAAGCTTACGCTCTTCACTCCCTCTGGATACCAATGGCTTAAGCAGTCGGGATCAGGTCCAGCATCAACCTCAAATCCAACCAACCAAACTTACACATATATCAGAACTTGATGAGATCACGGCCGCTCACTTCCATACCACAAAATCTGCTGGTCTTGGCATATCTGGTCGCCATCTACCACTCCTGTACAGGCTCATATCAAACCTCATCTGTCCGCCGCACCTCTACGCCATTCTGGTCATCGACATTGAAGGTCGTTTTGATGCCACGCGCCTGACTTGTTCACCATCTCATCTGCAACACGTCTACGTCCATCGACCAGCACGAAGTGATCCAGAGCATACTCGTGTTCTTGTAGCTGAGGCAGAGGGCATTCTTCTCTATGGCAGCGTCGCACAGGCGAGTGCCGGCCGCGAATGGTGGGGGACTATCGTTGTAGGTGGCGTTGGGGCTGGTGATATCGCAGCAGGCTGGAAGGGATGGTTACGTGTTGATCGCGAGAATGTCCGTGGCTTCGCACCGGGTGTCAGCGCAGAGGAAGCTTTGGACCAGAAGAAGCAGAGACAAGATATCGTAGATGCAGCTGGCTGGGTAGCTACCTCGCAGTGGGGAGGTTTCATCTTCAAGGAGGCTGATGAGAAGATACTGGAAGAGGATGCGGACCCAGAGGAAGCCTTGGATAATGATGAGAGAGACGAGAATACCCGAGACTGAATCAATAAATGTTCGGATTACCGAAAATGTCGTTTCCGGAGACTTAGTTCCTTCAAACTAGCATTCGCGCTCATAACGAATAGCACAGCCCAAAGCTATCAAGGACACCGGAGGTGAGGTTGCAGACGAGTCATCCGCGTGGAGGTCGACTAGAGAACACAATTGTGGGCAGTACCGCAACACAAGCCCGCCTAGCAGGCGTCGTCATCATCAATGTGAGGCTCATTCTCATCTCCAGCCCTTGATGTCAGTTCCAGGGGAGGGGGGGGCGGGGGCAAAGCTTCGACAAGGGGCACTGTCAAGAAACAACGGGTCAGTGACATCGTGAAGATCAGACCTCGTTGTGACGCCGAGGCACTTTTTCAGGATTTGGGATCAAGGCGAGCTTTGGTCGTGAAATATGGGTATAAGTGGACTTTCTGCCGAAGACGAGTTGCGAGACAAATCAGTGGAGTGGAACTAATGAAGGGTTAAAGAAATCTAGCAATTGTTAAGATCGAGGGGATCGGGGATTGTACCATGCTCTATCGCTAAATGTACAACTAGGTTATGAATCCAAACTTCATGGATGGTCGTGATGTTCTATTTGTTCATACTACTAGAATGGCAATTCAGGAATGTAGGTGACAGTTAGAAATCTTGTTCGGTGTTATATGAAACAGGTCACTATGTAAATTACTGTTTGAAGTTATTGTAAGAGCCTTGATTTTTTTTCTATCTTTTTGCTGTTCTATAGGATTTGATGTGATGCTCATCAGGGTATAGTAGGGGGGTGCATCATAGAAGGTAAGAATCTAGCTAGATAAGATGAAAGCCTCGAATCTAGAACCCATCCGTCTATCCAGATGCTTCTTGTTCTATCCGGTCTTCAAGAGTTGTATGTATGTTGTGCTCATGACACCTGCAAAGAGCCGTAATGCAGATGCTTGTGTAAAGGACTGTTCATATCGCATGGCTGTGTGTAACAAAGGAAAGATACCCGAAACTCCGTTAGAAATCCAAAGAAAAAAATTGATAGCCCAAAATGTGATGTATGAAGTGAAGTGTGTAGGTTGTTTTAGATGGTAATGCCATCCATGTCGACAGCAATCTCAGTGATGCCAGACTCGGGGATAAGGGCAGGCTTGGTGATCTGGCCCTTCGCAGCCTTCTTGTCCATCTCACGCTTAATACCGTGGTTAACAGCATCAAGAACATTCTCAACGGTGACACGAGGCTTATAGGCGGGCTCAGTGCCCTCCTGATAGACACCAGTCTTAACGAGAATGCTGTACCAATCGTTGTCGGCAACCTTGTTCACGGCGTTGGTGCCTCGGATATCACTCTCAGGAGTGTCACCAACAAAGTAGACAGTCTCAGGAGGAGCAACAAGACCGTGCTCAGTCTGACGCCACTGGCCCATCAAACGAGAAGCAAACTCGAAGGTAGAAACCTGAGGCTTTCCAAAGGCATGGGTGTGTAGAACACCGTTACCCCCAGTAAGATCCTTGAATGTAACTTCAAACATACGGCGGAGGGCACCCATGCCTAGACGGACGTGCTCGTGTGCAGCAGACCAGACAACATCGTTGTGAGAAAAGTAGAAGGGGGGGCCCTCGTCGTTGGTCTCACTGCGGGTACCAAGACGGCCGCCCTTGGACATGGCAACGTCGAGCATGATCTGAATGTCTCCAGCCCAATCGCGAGAGTCGGCAAAGACAAAGACAGCGTCGATGACAACGTCCGAGAAGTCTCGCTCACGGGAGTTGGCATGCTCCTCAGCAGTAAGCTTGCGGAAGGGAGTAGTAGCGGCGTTGTGCTTGATGATATCGCCGGGTGTCACAACATCCTTGAAGCCATATCCCTCAGCAACATGTCGGCACTTCTCGCCCTCACCACCGACGACAAGAACAGTGCCATACTTCTCAGCCATCTCCCTCATGGGAGTGTGGCCGCAGATGAACTGACCAGGCTTGATGTCGCACTTGAGCTGACCCGAGAGGTCGCCGCATCGCTCTTCTTCAGTCTTACCACCACCATTGGTGAGAAAGATGTGAGGCCTAAACAGGGGTGTCAGTATTGCATGGTTCAACGTCAGGGTAAAAGTCACGATGCCGTTTATTAAGTGGACCTCTCCAGAATAAATCCGGGGTTGGTGGATCATGACTGCGCATTGTGGATGAATCGACTTACACTTGAATGCCATACTCGTTCTCGCCATTGAGAACCTTCATGGCCTGTATGGCCTCAGGAATGGCTCGTCCACCACGGACCAGGACACCGTCGATATCGAAAGCAAAGACGAACGAGTCGGCGACAGGCTGAGAGATGGGAGGAGAGATGGGAGAGGCGGGAGATCCGAGACTGGCGATGCTGTCACTTGAGCTAGAGCTGCCGAGCTCAGGAGAGCTGGGGACAGAGCCAGGAGTGGTGACCTCTCGCTGGGCGGGGAGGTTGTCCTTGAAGAACTCGGTCTGTTGTGAAGACATGATGATGGTATTGCTAGGAATGAATATGGTCCTGTTCAGGCGCACGCGTAACAATTGAGACGCGTGAAGTTGAAGTTTTAAGGTGAAGTGGTTTTGGTGAAGATATCAGATAGAGGTGATTGAGAAATGACTCGGGGAGCGTCGAGCTATTTGTGTGTTTGGTAGTTGTTGGTGATAGTGGATATGGAATCTGGGGAATGATGGAGACTGATGAGTTCTACCGTCAAGAACGGTGGGAGAAATCTGGGGCTTTATAGATTTAGATGTCAAGCGGAGAGCAACTGGAAAGTACGTAAGATTCCTGAGGATACAATGTCTAAACAAAGCGTCATCTTGGCCGTGGCTCTGATCGATATCGAATCGAAATCAATATCCATGGCATCTCGGTAGACGCCCGTCGATACGTAGCTCGGGGTCCAATAACCGAGTCAGTCACTGTCAATCGAAACCGTGGCAAGCCATGGATAATTCCCCCTTACCCACAATAACGGTTCCACAGTATTTCTTGTGAGGCATTGTTTTGGTTACAGCCGAAAAACTTTAAGATACAGCATGAGGTAAGGGATGGGATGCGGATGGTGATGACGGTGTTGCTTTTTGGGCCTGAGCGACAAAGATACCTGCTAGAGCGAGACAGGTGGGTACTGGGTACCCATCGTTCCCTGCTGCAATGTACTGAGACCCATGGTATTGGCTACGCTAGCCTCTGATAACCTGCTGTCTCTACCCGCGGCTGGGGCGGGCTGTCATGTTTTTGCTGTCTGCATCCGTACCTGGGTTCCATTTCTTAGACGCCGTCGCCGCACTAGACCAACCCCATTCTCAACTTCAGTTCGGGTCCTTTGAACGTCATGACCAGCCAGGCACGGAAACAAGTACAGTACAGTATGTACGTGGGTTCTTGAGATACGAAACATGCCCTGTTCCCATTTGTCAACCAACAAATTGTAAATAACGCAAATGGAGCTCATTCTCTCGAAGCAACATGGTCATGGATTAATCGGTGATACATGGCATAAGCACTCGTAATATCGGACTGTTTAGCATCGTGCCACCCATGTTCTACAAACAGTGATCCTGTCAGACGTAGGACACGGCTTGGGATCGCCAATTGATTCTAGTTTTCTAATCTGACTGCCCTGAGTCGCCACAGATAACAAAAGCTCACCGCATAAAACGGTGTACCACCGTACCGTCTGATAACGGCAAAGATGTGCTGTAGAAAAGATTTCTTCTCTGGTGTGGACCCTGAGACTCCCTGTTTACCGTCCGTAGCGGACTCCAATCAGGGTCTATGTGTCGGCCATTTTCAGCCAGTCAGATAAATATGTCAGGGAACGTATCATATTGCAGGGAGGCTTCCAGATGGTTTCACAACGCAGTGGCTTTTTTCTCTCTGTCTTTCATCAGGGACCTTTCTTTTTCAAGGGCTAGGGCGCGAACTCAAGCGTGCAGGGCTCATTTCTCGGCGTGAGAATTAATGCAAGGTCGACGACATCAAGCGCCAGTTCCGTCAGGGAAACCGGATTGAATAGTGATAGTATCCACCGTCAAGCAGCTCATCCATGACGCCAATACGGTCACCGTCAGGAGGAAGAGGCATTGGCGACGGTAGGAATGCATGCAAGCTGCTCTCTGCCTCCACTGTATCCCGACCAAGACCGCAGAATCAAGAGTCGCTACGTTGATTCTGTGCAAATCTGGTACCCGTTTCGTTCTTTTTGCGCGCACAGTTTCGGTCCGTTGTTTTATGTGACGTCAAGCCAGCTCCGCTCAGGGTCCGCTCGTGCCCCGCCAGTCCGGTCGGCAGCCCTATCAGTCATGCCGTCCGGCCCCACTAAGGGACACCGTTATCCACCCATGGCCTAGACGGCCACCTTCGGCTGGGCGCTATCACCAAATGATTATTCGTGTCAAGTCCGTCTCACAAGTGTTACCTTGTCCAGCAATCGACAATCATGCTGTGTGATCTTGAAAACAAACAAGAGACATTTGAAATAATGCAATTGCGGTGAGTGACATGCTCATATCGTAACAGGAGAGATCATGGTTGCACAGCATCGCATCTATCTGTAACACAGACCGTCCAATACAACAAGATCTGTCCCTGAAAGCATGTGAAACGCGGTCCCTAGATAGCCCTTATCACCTCTATCGGGATCAGATCTGCATAAGCAGCACAAGCCTACAGGGTCCTTCTGCGCTGAAGGGTTCGGTTCGTCCAAGGGCTTCAATGGTTTGTTGTTGGCTGCAAGTCACTGCACCGGTCTGCCACATCAGTCCAACTGGGCTTGGCTTGGCTGGTCTTGGCTCGGCTCAGCTCAGCCTTTACTGTCGTTTTTGATACGGTAGTTGTTGTCGTCATTGAATTGTGCTCTACCGTTTTTCTGTCGTACAGGTGTTCTCATGTCATCAAACTTAAGCATGCATCTGTCTGCCTTGTTATCTACATGCCCTTCCATATCACGCTGTGAAAGAACAGCACCCCGTTGGACCGTCATATATCCCTTGGCGGCCTCCAAAACCACCGTCAGGAAATTCTATTGCTGGGATCATGGATCATAGTGCTTGGCGTCCGTCTCCTCGAGATGTCGGGATGTCTCGATCAAACGTCCGCGTCGACGCGGGGCATGCGCGCGATTAATACACTCTTCCTTGCATCATCCTTGTGGTTGATTAATGGAGCAACGTTGGACGAAAACTAACAATGAGGGGAAACACTGTGGAGAACAGTACAGTGTTGTGTTGATTGTGAGTTGAGAATTACAGTGCACTTTGACGGTGCCATGAGGGAGCCGTAATGTATCCGGAAATGATGTATTTCTGGTGGTTGGATTTTTCCTCCGTTGCCAACTGTCCCTGATGTCACTGTTTTCTCTGCAGAAGTTCTAGAAATAAGACCTGTCAAAACAGTGTTCAAATTTTGCAGAAAATAGCGGCAATTAACTTCGCCGTCATCTAGAAACCCAAGAGATTGGTATGCACTGACTACTAACAGGGATATACAAAGTTTAGCATTGGCCAAAAGTAGATTATACAGACTCGGTCGACTCCCGTCCTAACATCCTAGCCACCTCCTGTTTATCACTTCCTCGTTACGGTGAAACCTCCCGCCTACCGTTCAGCCCGTTCTGAATCAGACGGAATATATCTCACGTTTCCTTGGTTTGTGATGGAGGGTGAGAACAACGATAATTTTGAGTGATTATGTGTAATCAGGTGTGACGGAAACGGATACGGTGCAGGAGATCAACAGTAATATCCTTTCATATGCCTTGCAAGAAAAAGCCGCGTTATGCGGATTGGCTTTGATCTAGTCTGGTAAATACGTCTCCTGTCACTTGCGTTTCCTTTCCCTCAAACGTGCCAAAGTACCCAAGCATTTCCACATTAGGCATGGATCGATCCTTCGTATATGTACTTTTTAATTGAACGAAAACTGAAGCCGCCGGCCGGCGCCGTTCAAGCCCGACCCCGCGACCCCGGGTTCAATAGCGCCGCCCCGGGGCTCCGGGTATCCAGTCGCACAGATGAACACGGTTTTAATATCCAATACTTTTGTGACAAAACATCAACATACTCCACGAGTCAACAAGTTCCGCGACCCAAGAAGAAATTTCCCCGCAAGACCAACTTTGAACTCGTCTCCACGGAGAACCACTATCAACCTCGTTCTATTCATGATATCTCCAGGTTTCGATCTCGTCTCGATGTAGTGCTTCGCCTCCGCGTCTCCACTTCTCCATATCCCCATTTCTCCCCACGAGCTTAATCTTCTCTCCTTCACTGAAGGTTGACGAAGAGCCCACCGTCAACGAGAAGCTGTGCGCCGGTCACGTATCCGCTCAGCTCTGGACACGCCAGGAAGACAGCCGGACCAGCCATGTCAGAGGGCAAACCCGTCCTTCCCAGAGGGATACGACCTTCCATGTAAGTTCTTTTCGCATCATCTGCCAGATCGGCGTCGTTCAACTGCGTGCGAATGGTTCCAGGGAGAAGAGCATTGCACCGGATGTTGTGTTCTCCCAATGCGCATGCTGTGCTCTGCATCAAGCTCAGAACTCCTGCCTTGGTAGGAGTGTAGTGTGTCTGCTGGCCACCCCCGACAAGAGCTGAGATGGACGAAACGCCTATGATACTCCCTCCCTTCGGTTCCTGGTTGAGGGCCATCTGCCTGGCGGCAGCTTGGGTAATGTAAAAGGCGCCATCCAAGTTTGTTCTCACTGTTGAATACAGCAGGTCCGGCTCGAGCGTCAGGAAATCGGCAAATGTGCAGATACCAGCGTTTGACACGCATACGTCAAGTCGCTTCTTGGGAGAGTGTTCAACGGCCTTTTTGACCAGTTCTGTCGCTGTCGCTGGATCGCGAACATCGCCTGGTTGATGATCGAGAAGGCCAGCTGTGGATGATGCTTTGCGGATAGCGTCGGCCTCAGCGATGAGAGAGTCGAGATGAGGTTTATCCTTCTCAAGGCCTAGATGATTGACTACAACGTTCGCTCCTTGTCGCAGGAATTCGAGACAGATGGCACGGCCAATGCCAGTTGTGCCGCCTGTGATGATGGCACTCTTGTTGGCGAGAAGACCCGCTGGCATCAACATGATTGCTTATCTGAGTGAGCAATAAGCTGTGAGTATTTATTGTAATTGTTGTCGCGAGAACAGAAGTATCCAATCTGATTTTCAATTTCTCGTCTTGTCCTCTGTCTGCTACCTCGCGTCGTTCGGTCGAAGGAATACCGAGGATGAGGGGTCGATATGTGAACGTGAAGGGCTTCGAAGGTGGACAATGAAGCTATGATCAGACTTATGATGGACTCTATTTTGTGAGAATGATAACTCTGCAAAGGGGTTGAACGGTGAAGGGTTAAAGATCTCTTAAAATGATGATTACGATAGCTTTCTTCCCCTCACTTCCGGGAAACGGCTCTTAATAGTACCGAACTCTCCCACCTTTTCTTGCGACCCTCTTCCTTTGGTGGTTAGCAATCATGACCCGCGCAAATGGTGGGACAAGTGTCGAAAGAAATACGCTTCTTTACTTCCGGGAGAGCCTTCACACCGAGCCCGAGTCCACATTGCTAGCTCTCAAAGTTTGCGTGAGAAAGCCTCGGTAGACTGGCCAGCGAGGGGTCAGTGAACCAGATTTCTTCAACATGAGGGATCTTGTTGCCATCTCGGTATGCTTTAACGCGAGATGCCGGTGGGGAAACCCAACTAAAGTAGGAGAAATGCTGGCCGAAATCTTCTAAGCCAAGAGTTTGAGATGGGGGCTCTGGACCATTTTCAACAACAAAATCTCGATTTTAGTGGATGCCATAAGCCTGACCAAAACACCAACTGAATATGAAAGAAGTATCTTGAAACCGATGCATATAATGGCATCTACCGAATATGATTCCCTTTGTGTTCTCAGTGCCCACATATCCCGAAAGCTCAAGCCAACGGCTCTTCACTGGGGCCTGGGCTACTTACCGTTCAGTATCTTGAGGGTTCCATTGCCACGATGTGGGTTTTCAGAACGGCCACCGTCTCGAGGTGGCGTTGAATGCCTGACAGTCACCGTTTGAAACCCCCCCCCCCCCCAAAAAACAAAAAAAAAGGGTCTCACGATGCAGTTTCGGCCACCTCAACGTCGCGTCTATCCTGTTGTCCTGGGGCGTGTACACGCCTCTCTAGTGGGCCACGTTTATCAAGATCGTGTATGCTTCTCTGTGTCATCTTATGCGACTCATTTTCTGGGGTACAGAGCATATTTCAGCACGATTATTGAAGTTCCATTCTGGCCGATCTTTGACATCGTCGTGACTTTAATAAGGTGCATGGCTGGCCTCCACATGACAAGAAGCTGTTGTTTCCTCGTAATGACTTACTACATTCAAATTGGCCATAGAAGCATACAAAGCTCGTTATGAAATCCGAAATCAAGTAAAGTCTTAAAATATTTTCAATCTACTTTATTTAAAACGTCTAAAAAACGCAATGCATAACAATGAAAATTGCCAAATGTCGTCTATATCCCAATAGTAACACACCATAACGATGTACAATTTCCTTCCATTCACAAGACCTCATCATGCGGCCGCAAAACATAAACATAGCCACAAATCCAGGACTGAGATATGACAACAGGACAATCGCTTTTAAGAAGTTGTTGGTGTTGCAAGGCTCTCCACCTTGGCCGCGAGAGCGTCAATCGTTCCGTTGGGCTTGCTGGATTCCTCGCTTGACTTGCTCTCACTTTCCTTAGAAGGCGCCAGAGATGATACCTGAGGCACCTTGAACAGATAATCACTGGGGATGAGCTTGGCTCTAGCAGCAGGGTTGATGGTTAAACCGAAACCGGGCTTGTCCAGGTCAGCGGTGGTAAGGAAACCCTTAGTGGGAATGGGCTCGTCAGTAAAGAGGTCTCCAAACACAGGCAACACACTGCGGCCATCGGGAGAGTTGGCCAAATACTCCTGGAAGGGGGTGTTGGGCTGAGATATCTGGAAGTGGTAGCTATAGGGTCCACTCGCGTGAGGAACAACCGGAATATCGTAGGCAGCAGCCAGAGCAGCGACCTTCAGAAGCTCAGTTAGACCACCAAGCCACATCACATCAGGCTGGATAATATCGAGATTGCGGCCCTCAACGAGTTTGCGGAAACCATATCGTGAGTACTCGTGCTCACCAGTTGTGAACTTGACAGTAGGATGAGCCCGCTTGATGAGTGCAAAGCCGTCAGTGTCATCAGGCGACAAGCACTCCTCCCACCAGTTGATGTTGAGATCGAGACAAGCCTTGACAAGCTCGATTGTGTACGTGACGTTAAGACTCATGTAGCAGTCGACCATGATGGGGAAATCGGGGCCAACAGCTTCACGGTGCTTTCGCAAGAACTCGACGTTCTTTCGCAGACCCTCATGGCCATCGTCAGGACAGAAAGGCAGAGGAACCTTGGCTCCCCAGAAACCCATGGACTTGGCAGCTGTGGGCTCAGGGCCAGTGCAGTAGAAGTCGAGGCGCTCCTTGGTAGCACCACCAATGAGACGGTATACGGGCTCATTGCGAACCTTTCCAATCAAATCCCACAGGGCGAGATCGATAACTGAGATGATGGCAATAGGGAGACCCTTGCGACCATAGAACATGGAGGCTCGGTACATCTGCTCGAAAAGAAGGTTGGTGTTGCGGGGGTCGGCACCGATGAGGAAACGCTCGAAGTGCTCGTGAACGAGCCAGCACGCGGGAGGGCCTATTGATACATTGTTAGGCACTCTTCGTAGAAGCTCAAAGGTGCTGAGTACTTGTGTCATTGGCTTGACACAAGGATTAAAACTCACCTCCAAAGCCAGTTGCGAAACCAACGGTGCCGTCTGTGGCTTCAATCTCGACAAGAAATGACCCGAGAACGTTGATGCCCCAGCTAGTTCGTGACTTCTTGTACTTCTCCCATTTTGAAGCTGGTGTCGAGATATCGCTGTCGATGAGCCTGCAAATAAAATGTGAGTAATGCGGTCGAAGCCGGGTGTACAGAGGTAGGGTGAACGAGCGTACCAGTGACCACCTTTGACGTTGTGATAATCACCACCTATTTCGCAGTCCGTTAACACAATTCCAATACCCCCGCAGTTCTTCTTCACTGCGCAAAAGGTGAGACGGCATACCTGACCCAACACCACCGATAATGAATGACCTTACAGCCTTAATCTTGGGGAAGTCCTTGACAGACGTCATTGTGAATAATGTAAGAGATGTCACGAGAATGGATTATAATATGCTTAGAGTGACGACTCAGAAGATGTGCAGAAGATTCTGACGAAGAGATTGAATGAAGAAGAAAGTAGGATGGCTACGAGCTGGGGATGGGCTTATTTACAAAGGATGCACTTGTGGCACTACAAGGTGGGCTTAAAACACAATTGTAACCGATCGCGGATCATGGAACACAGGAGCCAATGGCTTTGGTCGCGAAGCTCATGATTGACTGGTCAGTCAGTCTTGTGACAGCATTGCGAGGGCAGAAGCCGGCAAAACGTGCCCCGGAATCCCCTCTGGCAAAGCAGATATCGGGTCAAGATGCACCGAAGTTGGTGTTGAAGATGGAGCCTTCCCCAATTACATGGCCGTCTCCATAATTTTTCTCGGTCGTCGTCGGGGTTCCACAAGAGTTGAGGGTACCTAAGCCACGATCACAAAGTTTAGAGGCGGCTCATAGGGCCCCAACTTTTCACTTCGGTTGTTTTTCTGGGGCAGTTGGAAGTTGTGAGCGTTTTGGGGGTTTAGCTTTTGAGCTCTTGTTATTGATCCCCATTACTACCTGTAGCCATCCTGAGGTCTATGTCAGTCGTTGGTTGACCTAATCTCGCATCCATGTATCTTTGTTCCTGCCACGGTTCTTCAAAGCCGAGCCTGGTCTTTGCGGGGTGACAGGGGAGGAAAGGCATCAGAAGTCGGCAACTGTGGAGAGCACATAATTAGTAGGTAGGGGAAAAAGAAAAACCAGTCGTGGCTTGAGCGATCAACAACAACGTATTTATAAAAGTATACCTATGGACGGAGACCTGGACATTTCCGCCTTACGGCATAAGACGTGTCACTTGTATTCTGATGGATGTTAGCTCTATCAAGGGCCATTGAGCCTGTTATAAGTTGACATGCTCAAAAACAGTGACCGCTTCTGAGGCTGAACAGAACAATCCTGCACTAACATGGGTGAAGCATGTGCTACATCCGGTCTGGGGCAAGGAATTTGGCAATGAGCCCACTTATATATCTCATTCCACAAATCAGATTATACCGCTTCTTTAATTTCCCCGCCTCAACCCCCTTGAGGAAAGAGCTTGTGAGGATGAAGTCAAAGCAAGAAGGTTTGGGCAGGTACGCGTGCGGCGTGAGACCAGCTCCTTCTCTCCGCATTTACTGAAAAGTTTATGCCCATCCTACCCTACCTTAGTTGGATATCCCGTTGCATGTGCAAGCAAACTGTGTCTCTCCTTTCCTTCACCACGTTTGATCCCCGGTTCGTTATCAAACAAACCAACATCCTAAAGAGTCTCTCATAGCTGTGTTGCAACTCTTGATAATTTCTTTTGCGGCTCCGGGAACGGAAGTACACCGACGAAACCGAGTTCTGGCAGTTTGTTCAGCCCCGAGTCCACCTCGGCCCACCTCAAATTGGCCCGGTCATCACGGCGCCACTTCCCATCCGTCCGAGGCACAAAGCCAGCAGAAAGCGAGGAGGAAAGCGAGAAAAACAGGTGATACGCAAAGGGAACAAGGACAGCTCATAAATAGCATAATCAGTAAGCGTTCGTGCTTGTCGGTAATTCGCGGTATTGGTCAAAATCTTTTGCATTACCCCGACAATAATAGGTCACTCCCCAGCTGCAGTGCAGGTCCTACACCCATTCTCTTAGTACTTAGTACGGGACAGGCCTATTTATCCTCGGGCGATCATTCTCCTGATCCCGCTGGCCATTATCCCGGATCGCGAGGTCCCCTTTGCAACGAACGCGGACTGATCGTTCGCGCGCATACTTGCTATCCATCATCTCGTGGCATGCTTGCTTTGCCTGAGCTTACCCCTGTTGTTCGGCCTCACTATTATCGACTCTCACACGACCGCTGGTGAGCTCGTTCTTGCATCGTACCGACACACGAGACCAGCGGCAAGGGCTCTGGGGGAAAAGAACCAAAGCCCAACATTTTACTCTCAGCCATGCAGAACGGGGCCAGCAAGATGTCGGGCGATGGCTCGGTTGAGAATCGCCCGCCCTCTACAGAAGCAGACAGTGATGAAGCCAACCAATTCCCTAGCGAGGATGAGGACCACGGCGACCACGAAACTCTCTGTCGTAATGGGAAGAGGAAGCGTCCTGTCTCGGTTTCGTAAGTGCAGCTTCCTACTCAGATCCGTTCGCTTCCTCTACACACTTTGTCAATCATACCTTGCCTTGCACTCTCGTTGAGTCCATGTCTTAATAAGTTTTTCTTTTGTCCTCTTGACAAGTCTCCAATTTGATAATCATGCTGGAGTCTTATCTACATTTCTTGTACTCTCTTATCAACACCATGCCGCCATCTGAGGCCACTTCATCGCCTCATGCTTCATGCTCCCCGCCCTCACAAAATCTCAACTACTATACCACATTACAAATACAATCCACCTTGTCCTCAAATATACAGGTTGTCGCCGACACTGAGACTAACAATATCGTACCCAGATGTGAGCTATGTAAGCAAAGAAAGGTATGCCCTCCATGACACGACCTTGCCTCTTGGTGTTTTCCTTATGTCGATCAATACTGATCCTTCTCACCTGCCAGGTTAAATGTGATCGTGGGCAACCATCGTGCGGCTGGTGCAGCCGCAATGGCGCTATATGCGAATACAAAGAACGCAAGAAGCCTGGTTTAAGAGCGGGCTATGGTCGCGAGCTTGAGCAGCGTCTCGATAAGCTTGAGGAGATATTGCGCTCCCATGCTGAGATTCTCCATGGCACCCTAGCATCAAACACAAACCCTGTCTTAGCTGCCAGTATTCGACATAGTAACCCAAGTCTTCCGAGCGACCAAGGAACTCCACGGGATCCTCACTCAAACCTCTTCCGACCTTCAGAACCAGTTCGAACACCTCAAACCGATCCCGTCATGTTTGGTCAGAAGGCTCCCGGCTCCAACTTTGCCCCGAGCACTCAGAGTCTCGATTTCAACGTTGCTCATACACCTAGGATGAACGATGGGTACCAGGGTCAGAACCAGGCGCCGATGTCAGGTGTGGCAGCATCTTCCCAGTTATCACCCATGCAACATGCCGCTGTTACTCAAGACTATTACACGTCTGTGCAACCCAACATTCATTCACCCACAGCCCCACTATCATCGGCTCCAGGCACGTCGACCCCAGATCGAGACATGCCGCCTTACGACCTTCTCTATGCACTTGTTGATCTTTACTTCAAACATATCAATACTTGGTGCCCCATCCTGCACCGCAAAACAACTCTAGATAGCCTTTTTGGACCGTCTGCCCTTGATGAAACAGATCGAGTTCTGCTCCACGCCATAGTTGCAACAACAATGCGCTACTCAACAGATGCTAGGCTAACAGAGGAGCGGCGAGAGCACTATCACCGAGTTTCCAAAGAACGCGTTCTTCTTTATGGCATGGAAAATTCCTCGGTCAAAGCGCTGCAAGCTCTTGTTATCCTGGCGCTTGATCTTTGTGGAAGTAGTAACGGTCCACCAGGGTGGAATATCATGGCCTTGATCACTCGATCTGTGGTACAGCTTGGTCTTGCTGTGGAAATCACCTCATCGACTGTGTCGCCTCATTATCTTTCGATATATACACTTCGAGCCATGACACTCTCGGAACCCAAGGATTTTATCGAGGAAGAAGCGAGACGGCGTCTGTTCTGGATGATATATCTTCTGGACAGATATGCGACTCTTGCAACTGCTTTTGAATTTGCTCTGGACGACAAGGAGATCGATAGGACATTGCCGTGCCGTGACGACTTGTGGATCAAGAACCAAAAGGTCGATACTCGATGGTTCAGCACTGACCTACACTCTGGTTCTCCGGGTCATGATATTGATCAGCCAGAGAACCTGGGTGCATTCGCCTACTACATCGAGATTCTCGGTATTCTGTCCAAGATACACAAGTTTCTTAAACAGCCAGTTGACATTAGTGCCCTGAGCGATGTGGAACAATGGCAGATGCGGTACAAGGAACTGGACAACATGCTGACATCATGGAAGTTCAGTCTTCCTGGTGAATTTGGTAATATGGCAAAATTGTTCCACCCAGGCAGTAAAAACATCAACTGCGCTTGGGTTATGCTTCATGCCACGTATCATACGGCCGTTATTCGCCTTCACTCATCGGCTGCCTATCCTACAACGAGGTCACCCATATTTACACCATCATATAGCGCATCGCAACGATGTCATGGTGCAGTTGAGAATGTGGCTGCCCTCGGAGAATTTGTTGTGAATAATGGCATGTTAGCAAAACTGGGTCCGCCATTTGCTTTTACTCTTTGGGTTTCGGCTCGTCTGCTCCTTGTCCATGGCTCGACGGTTGAGCATAAACTTTCACCACAGCTTCCGTTCTTCGTCGATAGTCTGCGTGAAATGGGCCGCTACTGGCCTGTTGCGGCACGTTATTCCCAGTTGCTGCAAAGAGTCTTGGACGAGCATCATGATAGCGAGCGACAAGGTGACGGGATTACACCCAGTTCAGTCAAAATCCTTTCCGATATGCGACGCACAGCATTTGACTTGGACTTCCTCATCTCACGGCAGCCCAGGCAGCCTAGTGCTCTTAGTAGGTTACCCAGCGTCACGCCTGCGAGGACACCGGCTCCTAACGAGCTTGAGTATCTTGACGTGTTCGACTTTTTTAACGTGCCTCGACTCCCTTTTGGGGGCGAAAACATTTCTGGCACCAACGGAACACCGGCACCGCCAGGAGCAGAAATGAGCGCGCCCAACGAGAACGGAACGGGCTTGGGGGCGTCGAATGAGTTTAATATAACCAACTTCATGGTCGACGCCAACAGTGACTGGCTTTTCAAGCAAGAGGGTGGCCCCAAATATATGGCAGCTACATAAAGCGCCGATTCGGCGTGAACTTCTTATTGTTCACCAGTGTTGCAAATCATTTTGAGTTCTGGGCGGTTTTTAATTATCAGGATACCCCTTATTTAGGATATTAGCGGACTTCAGTTGTTAGAGCGACAAGATGCTATATGGCTATGTCGTTGGAAGCTTGTACATAAATTTGGAAGTGAAAATATGGTGGATCAAGGTTGGAGTTAATAACATGTACACTACAATTACAGGATTACGACTCATGGGTTATGACAAGAATAAAGAATGACCAACAATTGATATGCCGCTATCATTTCGCATCAGGGGTTTGAAACATATCGTAAACATAAATTGTGTATTCATGATATCTATTATGAGATGTAACCTCCATTGACTTTCTCAGGTGTATCAGCTCTCGACTGCAGTCTGATAGGTATTTCCGGTGCAGTACATGACCCAACCATCGAGATTCATCTTCTTGATAACGGTGCTGAACCCTTCTGTACCCTTTGCCTTGCCCTTCTTCGAGCAAATGACTTTGCGATCGGACTCCTTGACCTTGGGCGCACCCTTGGGATATTCAATATTGAAAACAGGCTTCTTGGCCTTGATGAACTTAGCGAATGTCTCGCATTCAGAGTACTCGACGCATTGCTCATTAACTGAGAACTGGACGTAAGGGAGAACAGAGGAGATAATATCGCCGGCGTTCTTAAGACCAGTGGACATGTTGTATTTTGCGGCCTCTACAGCGAGGAACTTGATATAGTCGATCGAGTCTTTCTTGGTCAGTCCGAGACCATTATCATTTTGCTACGGCTCGTGTTAGTTCTTATACGGAATTCAAGAATGAGTGATATTACTTACATAGCCGTCGACGTTGTCGGGATCAATAGCGTCGCATCCCTTCTGAGCAGCAAGCTTGATGCGCTTCTTCATGATGTTGCGAACATTGGTGCTTCTCAGGTTAAGCCATTTCTCATCAGGCCACCCGTCGAGAGTCTTGCCAAGATCGGCCTTCTTGAATTGGTTCTTGTCATCGCGCCAATCCTCCCATGATCCGGCGCTGAAGTAGCAGATGACCTTCTTGCCAGCCTTGTGTAGGGCTGCAAAGGTCTCAGCGTCGTTATCATAGAGATCCAGATCGTAAATGCCAACGTTGGGCTTGAGATCCTTGGCGGAGCCGTCCTTGTTGAGCTTGATAGGCTTAAGGAGAACAATCTGCCATTGTGCGCCGACTTTGGGCTGCCAGAGACTGCTACGGGCTTTGAGGTAGGGTTCTGTTGAATCGTCGCCCTCTGCATTAGCAGTATCGTCGCTGTTGTTTCCTCCTTTTCCTCGAGTGAGGCCAACACCAAGTCCAACAGACAGAGCGATGATGACTGCAAGTGTCACGCCCAAAGCAATGAGCTTCTTCCACAGTGGCCAGGACCGCTTTGCCTTTGCCACCTGAGGCTTCTCTGAGGTAGCAACCTCTGCTGGATTTGTCGCCATAACTGTGATTGCAATGTGGGTGCAGAGGATAGATGGGTTCAATCAACCAGCGACGCCTGGCATCCAGCGAGGTTTTAAGGTAGGGGGGAATAAGCAACCATTCAATTTTACATGCCAGGCACCTGAGCTCTAAGCCTCATCCGGTCCGTGAGCAGTCCAAGAGGGTTTCAAGATTCAGGGCGGAGCAGAAATATTGCATGGATAAAATGGACTGCTGTCAGCACCAAGCCATTAGCTTGAGGTCTAGAACTAGCTGAGGATCCAGTGCAAGGTGCATTCCATGCCATTGTACTGTATTTACAGGGCTTCGGGAGCACCCGAGCGAGACAGAATTTGAGTTAAGTTGGCGATCTGCATCTGTTTCCTGCTGTTCATGTAACGCAGATCACCGCATTTGAAACATTCATTCCATCTCGTCTCTTCTGTTCTAGACTTGGAAACCCATCATCGGGGTCTAGTGCAACACACAATTCACATTCTGCCATTTCCAACATTTCATGGAACATGATCCTTCAGCACACTTTACGGCACGAATGTTTCGTCTAATTGGTATCCCGGTTAGCACGGCATTACAGGGCAGAGGCTTAGACCGCACAATTAACGAGGCCGCTTAAAGGACAATGAGATCAGTCTCGATATGTTTCAGCCAGAATCGTGTAGTTATCAATTCTGATTCAGCCCCGTAACTTGCGTAATGCAGTTGTGATATCACAGCCCTACACGTCTTCGTGTCGGAATCGCCTAATAAGTCGTTGACAATTATCATTTAGACACAGCATAGCCATGCCGGTGACTCGTTTAATGTTACCATCGACATCAGTTGATGCCTTTCTCATCTACAGCCACCTCTCTTCAAACGATATTCCACCTTGAGGTCCTGTTGATGAGCTCGCGAACTAACGCCACGGTCGAACGGACTCACGATGACGACGATTGCATTCAAAGGATTACACTTATTGTGCCAGGACTCACTTGTTCCCCTGAAATATACAAATACATAGTAAAGACACTTCGTAACCCAATCTTGGTGGGTTGTAAAGCCTAGCTATTCGGCTGATGTTTTGCTCACATACATTTTACGCCAAACCACCAAAGCACCGTCAGAATCATGATGGCTTACTTGTTACAGAACACTGGGCTCGGAAGTAGGCAATTTCTACTCATTCTTAGCTTACAACTCACGGATACTTTAGCCTAAGGTAGCTCATCCAAATACACAATACTCACTATTCCCCGTTGACATCGGCCGAGATATAAACCTGAAAAGGAAACTCGGCGATCATGACTCCGAAGAGGACAACAAAACATTAGAAACCAACGTAAGGTGATCTTTGAGCATAAATATCATGGAAGAAGACAAATTCTAGAGAGTGAAATGCAGGTTGATAATTCTGCCCATGGTTGTTCCCAATTGCATTGAATAGTGCCGTCCATATCGTATCACATTATCATCATGAAGACCACTTCCGCTGGATTCGTGTTCACGTCGGCTGTGCTGGCTGGACTCGCTCATGCAATCGGTATGGCGCCGCCGCCGCCTGTTGAGCTTGTTCAAGGCTTCGACTGGAAGGACCCCTTTGCTCTCGATGCCATTGCCTCATTCCGACCTACTTGTGAGGCCAAGGCTCAGTTTGAAGCTCTCGAGTACACCCTCAAAGACTTGATGGAACCTCCTCCCAAGGGGTTGAAGCCATGGTCGAAAGGGCTGAAGGCAGTCTTCGCTGATAAAGAGTATCCTGGAGGGTGGCTGGGTCTCGATCCTCACCTGAATGGCCGAAGTCTGCTGTTGATGAACTACGATCAAATGCCTCTCCTGGTTCGCCAGTGGATTGAACAACAGGAGCGGACTGATGGGACGGGGAAGGCACTCTTTGCCGTTCTTGAGAAGCCAAAGAACGACGAGGATGAGATCGAGAAAGTTGTCCAATTCCCTGAAGCTGACAAGATCGATCGCGATAATGACAAAGACAAGGTTGCCATATTCGCACCTGGCGCCTTGTATGGGATCCTTCCTCTGTGGGCGGCAACGACAAGTAAATGCGAGGGTATGTCATCCAATTCAACCAATCGATTGAAATAGCTGCTTACCTTGAAATAACAGATCAACTTGTCGACCTGAGCAAGTATAGCCCCAGGCCTTCAGATGGCGGGGTTGTTGGTTGGGTTATGCATACTGAACCCCAAAACCACAAGACGAAACTCGACATCAAAGTTCAGGCATTAAAGACAAAGGAAGTCAAGAGTGGTCAAGAACAAGGCCAGGCAAAGTCGGCATCACGAGAGGAACTGTAGGGTAAACATGGCTCATTATTTTTCTATACTCAATATTGAAATACCTTGATTGCAAATACTCAGTGCCTACCTACTTGATACGGACGCTTTTATTATCTTCTTCTGTAGCCAAATAATAAGAAATAAAGGGATAGCTGCACAAAGGGCCTTGTGCTTGTACTTGATGTAACACCCATATGCATTTGGATTTGTGCATGTTGAATGGGCAAGGATGCAGCAAGGTGTCATTGTCGTTCTCTGAAAAAGGAAAAAAAGCAATACCAATCTAACTAGGTATCGTGTAGGCGTCAAGGTTTATCTGTTCCTGCCTCTAACCCTAACCTTTAATGTAAGGCACTCTAGTCATTGAGGTAGGTGCCATAAATATCATACTGAGAGAATACGATACTCACCTGTCATCATATCATTATTATTCCAAGAAAAAACCTCAGTCGGATCTCTCCATTGACCGCTGTTCTGATCTACGACTCATATGTATGCAGGGTCAAACGATCCTGGTTTGGTTCGCTGGGCACCGATTATTCCTTCCGCGCACACCGCCTTTGGTGTGGTGTCGTGTGCTTGATCGGATCGACGCCAACTTCACGATGCAGGATTGAGTTGTCATGATATGGGTCTGGTTGTCATGAAGAGTCATTCAACTAATGCAGGAGGATGCGGTGGCCGTCGTATGAGAAGCCATAGAAAGGAAAATTCTTTCGGGCGAACAAGAAAGACATATCATGCTTGAGGTTTATCACGGCTAACCATTGAACTTGAACGAGGCTTTGCGACATATATCAATGCGATTTCACCAACCTCTTCAAGCGGAATTCACATCTAGCCTAACGCTGGAAAGCCCCATTGTTGTTCATGGCGAGGTCTAGGCCAGGCACTCGTGGCAATGCGACCTTGCTAAGCTACCCCAGCATTGCATCCAATAGCTTCCGGTGACAACGGAGCTGTGACATGAGGTATTGTACAGTACGTGCAACTTTTCAGATTGCGCTATATCTGAGAGGGTAGTTTCACAGTCAGTTTTCAAGAGCAGGCGATGCATGTTGATCAGAGAATATTCAACCGTCGTCAGCCACTATCATCGCGTTGATGTGCAACAGCCTAAGGTCCCGGATGCGGTTCGTTGCAGAAGAGCTGCTGCATGGTGAAGAAACCCACTGGCCAACCCAACCGCCAACAAACGCCATGACACAGTTTACATGTCGTCAGAGAAATCCCCACAGCTCTCGAACTGCAGCTACATGCCCACTCTGCAGATGCAAGACTGTAGGTAGAGTACTTGTCATGGATCATTCCGAATACCTTACTTAAGTACCTGAACACTGCACATTTGGCTATCTTGAAAATCAGCATCGGATTCAGAATCGAAAACAGATTCAGCTGAAATGGAAACCGTGAGATGATCCAACGGCACGAAATGCCAGTGACAAAGATATTTCCTCGTCAGCTACACCGAAACTGGAGGCTGGGTGACGAGAACAGCCTTACCGTTTGTCACTTCAGATCCATATGCGTTGTACATACTCCGTACATACAGGAGCAGTATCCGTACCTAGGTACTGAGCTTGGCTGATCCATCGAGACGCGCTCATGCCCAGGGAATCACAAGCTTTTTTTGATACCTGATAACAGCCTCAATTATCTTAACTTTTCCGGCTTGGGCTGCGACTCATCTCTTCTTGCTGCTGCCTCTGTTTCTACTACCGACTCTGTTGCAACTCCTCCTCCTCCTCCCGTTGCGCATCACCATCGATTTTGCTGGACAAAACCCAAATCAAACTCCCACGTGCTCGTCTTTTGCTTCTTTCATCATCCTCATCCTCATTATCTTTTCCGCTTTCGCAGACTCCTTCTATGAGCTTCTCTTATCTTCCTCACCATAAAACCAACCTTCTCACCGTATCTACTCTGCGTATCATTGCAATATTCGCCTTGTTCTGCATCCGGCGAAGCCATCCTCTCAAACCGCTTATAACCAATCCCTGTATCGATCGGTCCGGTCGAAGCGGTCTCAGCGCTCTCGATTTGTACCGTCTGTACCTTTTTCTCGTGTCGCTGTTACTCCCCCGTAGCCGCCAACAATCTTTAATTTCGCTCCAGTCCCCCCCAGCCTCGACCAACGCCAAACCGGACTTGTCCTGGTCTCTGCCCGTCCCATCAACGACTTGGACCTGGCTCTTTTCCCAACCCAACATCTCTCCCACAAACAAAACCAAATCTCACTTTACTTCAGTACGCATTAAAGTTATTAACTCATTGCTACATTCTCTCGATCCCCTCGCGCAGATTCCACCACCGCTTATAACGCAGATTCCAGTTATGGGCAGCTTCACTTTCAAGTGGTAAGTCGCAATTTGATACGTTACTGTGCTATATTGCATTGCGCTGCGCTGCTCGACGAATTCATCGCGATAGCTTCGACAATGTTCCGAGTCGCACCTTACCTGCCTCAGCGAGAGACAAGCCAATTGAGCTCTGTCTCAAGACTTTGCCTTCTCCCATCCATGCGCCTCTCGAAGCTGCTTCATATTGCAGACTAGCAGCTGCAGACCGCGACAGCTTATCCATGTCTGAGACACCCGACACTGACCCCAAATTTTCTATAGGGAGCATCCCGCCGACGAGGTCTACGTGACCGGTACATTCGACAACTGGACCAAGAGCGTTAAGCTCGAGAAGGAGGGCAATGTCTTCTCCAAGACAGTCGACCTAAAGGAGCCCGAGGGCAAGATTTACTACAAGGTGCGTCAGCGTCAGCGAGCCTCGACCCGCAATCCCAACAGCATCTCTCCTTTTCGACATTCACTTTGCATTTGGCACTGGTTCAATACAGCACAGACTCTACCTTTCTTGCCAGCATCGAAGACAAGCATCCCCAGTTCTTGAGTCATATATAGATGGCGGGGAGAACCATTGGCATCATCTGCCTTGCCTATCTTGCGCGTCTGCTTCTCCGTATTGCTCGAACAAGATGGACGAATAGCTGTTATGGCCGTGCCGCCCGGGAATCCGTGCTTTTGCGCCCATCACTATCTCGCAATCTGCAGGGCTTTTTAAGCCTAAAGAGCTTGGAGGCGCAAGAGCGGTGGCTGCCGTAATCCCAGCCCCCTGCCCATGGTTTTTTTTTTCTTGCAAGTTTGCTTCGCTGCCAGGATCGGGGACTGAACCCCTGGTTCATTTCCCTGCCTGTCATGTCATGGGTTCTCTGCGACCCATTAGCATCTCGCACAGTCCCCAACCAAAACCCCCCGCCGTTTAGTATGACGCAAGGCGACCACGATCGCAACAGTTCTGGAATGGAGTTAGTGAGCGGAGAGCGGTGGAAAATCCGCTACACTCAGCCCATGTCAAGTCTCTTCCTGGTCATGCCAGTAGAATTCTGTGGCGTCAGGCGACGATGTTGCGTCGCGCAGGGACAAAGTTCCCTCGTACTGCCAAGGCGTCTTCAAGTCAGCGCTTGATTTGCTTGCGCGCTAGTGTGCCTGCGTTGCCGACCCGCTCTTGCTCTTCAGCTCCCTCCTCCCCTTCGTCATCGCACCAGCTCATTAAACTCACTTTGTCCCCTCTTTTGAACCCAATTGCTGTTCCTACACTCCCACACACTTGTCGCGAACACTGCAAAGTCTGTCGCTCACCAGCATTCTATCTAGTTCATCGTCGACGGTAACTGGATCATCAATCAATCAGCACCCAACGAGCCTGATCTCGAGGGTAACGTCAATAACTTCATCACTCCCGATCAACTTAACACCGAAACCCCTGGCGCCGCTGTACTCAACACTGTGACTCCTTCGTCTACAACCGCTGCGATGGCTGCCGAACAACCCATTGAGAACAAGCTCACCGAGCAGAAGACTCTGGATGATAAGGTAACTAGCGAGAATGTTGCTGCTGTTGGCAATATACTGACTTCCGAGAAGCCTACCCAAGACGAGAAACTGCCTCTCGAGACCCCTTCTGACATCCCTGGTGGCTTCCCCGCTACACCTGCCAACGAGCTCGACAACACCATTGGCATTAACCCTCTCCCCGCTTCTGAGGGTGCCGGAAACCCCATCAAGCTAGAGCCTGGCGAGAAGATTCCCGAATCTATCACCGCTCAAAGCACCGACAAATACGTCAAGCTCGACAAGGAATCATACGAGAAGAGCGACGCTCTCCCTGGCATTGAGACCGAGCTTCCCCCCGTATCTTCCAATACCATTCCTGAATCCAGCCTGCCCATTATCGGCGCACAGGATGCTATCATTAACTCCGCTGCTCCCACAGCTACTACCGCCGGCCTCGCCGCCGAGGTCCCCCTCGAGTCCAACGGTTCTTTCGTCCCCGAGGTTGTGAGAGAGAGCCAGGAGAAGGTTGGCGCTGTTACTGAGGCCAGCACCGACCCTACGGAGGTCAAGGAAAAGACCATGGTTGAGGAAGAGCTCAAGGGAACAGTGCCCGAGGCACCCGCTACTTCAGTAGGAACCGCTGGTGTTGGTACCGAGAAGTCCGAGAACACACCGGATACTAGCCTCGCCGCTCTGGCTGCTACTGCCGGTGGTGCTGTGATTGCTGCTGGTCTTGCTGCTAAGGAGACAGTGGAGGAGAAGGCTGGCCCTGCGCTCAACAGCGCTGCTGACGCCATTACCGATACTGCCAACAAAAACCTACCCGATTCTGTCAAAGAGCAGCTTCCTGTTGCAGCCCAAGAGACCCTGGCCGCCAAGAACGAGGAGCAGATTCGACAGGAAGTGTCCCCCGAGGTCCCCGTCGAGGTCAAGGAGTCCCTTGTCGAGGCCGGCAAGTCGCCCGAAGCTGCTGCTAATACTGCCGCTGTTGAGGATAAAAAGGAGGTCGAGACTGAGCTTCTCAAGGAGGTCAAGCCTGTCACCGGCATTTATGATTCTGTTGTTGAGCAACCCAAAGAGGAACCAAAGCAGGTCTCCCCTGAGGTTCCTGTCGAGGTGAAGGACTCTATTGCGGAGGCTGGCAAGAGTCCCGAAGCTGCTGCCAACACCGAGGCCGTCGAGGAAAAGAAGCTTGTTGAAGCTGAGCTTCTCAAGGAGGTTAAGCCTGCTGCGACCATCGACGAGACCCCAAAGGTTGCTCCTGAAGTGCCCACCGAAGTCAAGGAGTCCATCGTGGAGGCTGGCGAGCGCCCTGAGGCTGCTGCTAGCACAGAAGCTGTTGAGAACAAGAAGGAGGTCGAAGCTCAGCTTCTCAAAGAAGCCGAGCCTGTTCCTGCTGTTGACGAGGTCAAGCCTCAGAAGACTGAGTCTGCTGTTCCCGCTGTTGCTGCCCCTGTTACTGCTCCTCTTGAGACAAAGGCTGTGGAAGCCAAGCCTGATGCTGAGCCTGTGACTAAGACCGAGGAGACCAAGTCCGAGGTTAAGACAGAAACCCCTGCTGTTGGTAATGGCAGCTCAGCAACCGGTAACGGCACTACAGCAACTGGAAATGGCGCCAAGGCTACAGAGACCAAGACCACAACACCAGCCAATGGCAGCAGCTCAACAGCCAGTGGTGAGAAGAAGAAGAAGCACAACCGACTCAGCTCAATCTTCAGCAAGATCAAGCACAAGCTTTCCGACAAATAGATGAGAGAAAGAGGCAACTAAGCTAATGTCGCAACGTTGTGGAGTCAGATACGTCTCATGGGTTTTTGTTTTCTTGCGGTTGGTGTCTTCGTTTATCAATGATTCCCCTGAATCCATGAGCAAGAGGAGAGTGGTTGAGATCGCTGGAGGCGTGGATCTTTGTCATATACCTAATTCATAGTCAGTTTTATGTGCATGTTTTCGATTGATACCGGGCTTCATGTATGATAGCTTCTACTAGGTCAAAAGAAGGATATCGTTTTGGATATATCCATGACAAGCCCTTGTTTAAAGTCATTCGTAGTCATGTCAAATCGTGTTATCTCATGCCATTGTTACTGAAGGTCATGTGATGTCCATTTCGCCCCATTGGATGACTAACCTTTCTCTTTATGTCAGCTTCCAACAAACAACGAACAGAAGCCGGTAACGCCATTTCCCCTGCGCCGCCCAGCCGTCAACTCCGTCACGATTTGCCCCGCCAGTGACTCGCTCGATCCACCTCCATCCTCCATCCATCAACGGGGTCCGTCCCAGCTGGACCCCTTCGTGAACCTCATTTGATTCCTTCCATCTCAATTACCTTCGTAAAGTAACCTCGTTTTCATCCTATATCTCATCAATAACACTCTTTTCTGCGAATCACAACCCGGTGACGGCACCCCTGTCTTACACTTGTATGCCATCCCAACCACTGGGGACAGAGCGCAAGCAATCGAACGGTTGATCGATCCTTCGTCTCGCCGACCACGGTTGAGAATCGCCCAAAAGACCTTCGTTGCGAACATGAGCTCCTCTACCTCGAACGTGGGGAAAACTGCCGCTACACCGTCTAGTTCCACAGCCATTCAAGCAGGTCCGACAACCTCGAGCTTCGAATCGTCTCGTCGCCCATCACAGGCTGGCTCCTCGAACCCGCAATCGATGCCTCGCAAGTCACAGGGCGCCCGTAAACAACACCGGAGTCAGCGGCGACCAGGACTCGGCGACAGGTCAAATACTGGCCCAGATGACGAAGATGCCATGGCTGAACTAAGGGCTTTCAGAAACCCTAACAGCAGGCGGGGCCAGACGTCAATTACCCATTTACTCAACTACTCGCTGCCACGCCCGGTACAGGATCATCATGCACACTCGAGATCTTATCGAAGAACCCCGACATGGGGGCCAGGCTCCGGTTACCATGCAAGCGACAAGGCTCGATACGTCCATGCCAACTACCGATTTATCCTCTCACCAGAAGGCACATACAACAAGCAAGCCACAGATGCCGACACACACTTAGATTGGTCTCTTGTCATGCAAATCATTGCTTCAAGCGAGTCACAGGGCTCATCATGCCCCATCTGTCTTTCAGAGCCTGTGGCGCCTCGCATGGCGAAATGCGGTCACATCTTCTGTCTACCCTGCCTTATTCGGTTCATGAACTCAATTTCGAGTGAAGATGAGGCGAAGGGTCGCGGACCCAGGTGGAAAAAATGTCCCATTTGCGAAGACTCTATCTACATGCAAGATGTTCGGCCCGTAAGATTCTATGCTGGACAAGAAAGTCCTTTTCCTCGGACTGGTGACGACGTCGTACTGCGGTTAATGGCACGGAACGCGAACTCGACGATGGCCCTTCCACGAGAGAGTGGTGCCGAAGCGCTTTACTCCCGGGATGATATTCCTTGGCAGTTTGCTGCCAATGTTTTAGACTACGCTCGCATGATGAAAGGTACAGCTGATTATATGACAGCCCAGTTTGACGAGGAGATCGCTTCGTTGGGGCGACAAGCTAAGGAAGACGAGACCCTTTTCGGACAGACTGATGAATGGTCCCAAAAAGCGATTGGGGCTATCACAGCCGCGAAAGAGAAGCTGGCTGATCTCCAGGTTGTTGCAAGCCCAGCCACGTCGGCACAGCCCTCTTCAGATGCCGACTTCTATTTCTACAGCTCCCCACCTCACCTATATCTCTCACCATTGGATATCCGCATCCTGAAGACCAAGTATGGCTCTTTCTCCTCGTTCCCTTCCACGCTACTTCCGCGCGTCGAGCATATCTCCACTGGCCATGTGGTTGATGACGCAATGCGCCGAAGAGCAAAATATCTCGGCCATCTTCCTCGTGGATGTGTCGTGAACTTTTTGGAGTGTGATTGGACCGATATCGTGCCAGAGGAGACGCTGGCATCATTCGCAGACGACATTGAGCGGAGACGGAGACGTAACCGTGACAAAGAGACACAGGAAGAACGGGAACGTCTGCAAGCGGAGCGGCTCGAAGCCGCGAATCTGCGTAAGACTACTGGATATCAGAGGCTCCCTGAGCCGTTGGAGGAGGATAGGGCGCCTCGAATGGACATGGAGGATTTTCAACCATTGAGCGGGCACTCAGGCACCACGCCCCCGGATCCCCGACCAGGATTCGAGACATTAGCAGAAATGTCGACCAGTCCCTCAACACAGAGGACAGTTTGGGGCACGAGGGTAATTAATGGGTCACCCGAGATAGCATCTGCCCAACCCTCGAACGTCAACGACGGGTGGCTCAAAGATGAGGATTTGTTTGATACGGCTGATCTGGCAATGCAGATTCAGGCTATTGAAGCCGCGGAGAGTAGTGTTAGTTCAAATACTGCTGCGGGAGTAGGAGGAAACGGCGGCAGTGCTGGGGGTAAAAAGAGGAAGAAACAGAAAATCACACTTATGAGCACTGGTGGCCGGAGAGGTAACTAGGATCATTGTTCTTGCTTTCAATCTGAGCATGTTTGAAGTCAATGGGTTCTTATGGCGTAGCATAATTAATGGGTTTGTCTTAATCATTCTCGGGAAATAAAGAGAAGTAAGGCATCGATCCCAAATAGATTTTCCCGACATTTCATGATGCTTCCATCAACCAACACGTACGTGATTTGTATTCATAAATGTGGGACAACTTGGGGGATCATCTCATGATTTTTCGACTAACTCACTCATCTGCCTCATGTGCGAAGATCTGCTCCCAATGCCGATCGAAACTTCAATTGCAACATGAAACTCGGCATGGGAGTTAGTGGACTAGGGCGAGAGCTGATAGGACGTGATCAGCCAGTATCGTCATAGTCGCTGGAGCGCTTTCTCCACACAAGATCGACCAGACGCGGAATTGCCGATGACCGCAAACTCAAAGTCTAAAGGTTTTCGGTACATAAAACAAACTGGGTAATCGTCGTACAGCCAGGGCTACTCGGCATATGTTATGTTGCAGTTGTAGGTGCTGAAAAAAGGTCTCGAGGGACATCGGACCATAACGTGCCGCTTAAGCGCTTGTAATTAAGTGTCAACGGGCTGGGCAGTTTCGTATTCCGTTTACGAGGTGCAACAAACTCGATAGTTAGAGGTCTGTCATGCCAAGGATACGGGCTGGCCTATCAAAATGCAGCTCTGATGTGGCGTCTTTACCCACGCAGAGCCTCGATTTCCTCAGTAAAGGGCTGTGTCGGTTGGGAGAGTTCGAACGTTGAAACCATACCTTCAACTCTGGAGCCTGCCTATTCGCCAAGGCGTTGGCAGATTGTCTAACAAATCATGTTGCACTCAAGTTCAAGGTTGCAAAGCCAACCAGTGTACTTTAGGACTTACCATACGCATTTGCTTGACCTTCTGGAATAGGCACGCCGATTCGGTGGGTAGCGGAATTTTTGTCATTGGATGCTGAGCCACCCTCCTTTGGAGCCAAGCAACCCCCGCGGTCTGTAATGAAGTACATGTACAGGAATTGGCGGTATAAGGTAGTCATGGTCCCAATGTTTGCCTGACAACACGATCAAGAGTTTCGTTAGTAGATCTTTTGCTGTAAGTGTCCCCAAATCAGGGGCCGGAATGAAGGACTGAGATGAAATTGGGAGGGAGCCAACTCTCCATTCCCATCTTGTAAGGTGTTTATTATTTTATATGATGTATTAGCGGGAATGAGCGGGGTACGGGGAGCTGGACCTAATTGATTAGGGGCCGAGGGGTAAAATGTTGAAATTAAAGAGCCCAGCGCCGGGAATAGCGACAATGGTCGTCAATGTTGTTGTTGATACATTTCAAGTAGGACTTGGGAAGACTGGCCAAGACTTCACGTGATGCTGCGCCAAGAAGAGACATATCGCTGTCAGTGAGCGGACTATCGGTGACCCCGCCATCGAAATCGAATGCCGTCTTGCCGTCCATTACGAATCTACCAACCCAAGACCTGAACAATAGGAAACCCGCACGCTTTGGACACTCGACGAGGAGCGGGCACCTTTGGACCGTGGCCTACAGCAGAACTGCTTGGCGAGCCACTAACGCTATGGCCTGCGAGACACTGACTAAGTCGAGCTGCACGGTCCGTTTTGTCGTCATGTGTACGGGGGTCCTGTTCATGATTACTACTGGGCATATCCTAGGCTGTTGGGGGAGAACAGAGAGAGGGGAAAGGGAAAACCGCTTGGTCGGCACGGAACAGTGAGTGAACTGATGAATGATGATACAGTATCAGAGACAGTTGGGCACATAGGTGGGCAAACCAGGCTATCTTGTGACGCTGACAACGAGCAGCACAAGTGCAGTTGATATATAAATTAAACAGATTAGCCCAGCCGGAGGGAGACGAAGCGGCAATTGAACTTTGGGTTCGTCATCCATCCAATATCCATCGTTTCACACTCGATTTTGTTAGAATCTGACCGTTGTGTCTTGTCTTTAGAGGCGCAGGATAAGCAGAACTTGACCCAATACTCGATATCTACTGGCCAACACCTACCGGTACCAAAGTCTTCGTCATTGTCGCCCGTCTGTGACACTCTCCTTGTCACGTCGCCCTTTTTGCCCAACAAATCATTCTCGCCAAGCGAGAGCAGCCAATTCTCGGCTGACGAACGACGACCCCACCACTTACAAAGTCCGCTAACGAAGCGCCTGGGCCGAGCCTCAAGCAGAAGCAACGCCACTTGACGCATACCCAACTGCACTGAAGCGCCTGTACCCCAGGTCACTAACACCACTGAAAGGGTCTCCGGCTTTTATGTTGTCGGGTGTAAATTGCGATACAACGGAGACGGTTCGACTAGCAAATTCCCATTGTACAGATCCTCAGCTCCATCGGGTTTCGTTGTTTGT